TTCGTTTAATGGTTTTAAATCGTCTTGAGAGTTCGTTTTTGGATTCGAAACAGTTAATGGTTTCATGCTCTAATAACTTCTTTCTCTGGTACAGATGGATCCAGCAGAACAGAAAAGAGAAACAAAGAGGCAAAAGGAGTACTATGACATTCAAGGATACGTAGCCGATTCCCAATATGGTATTCCCAGAAGGTGTATGTGTGGTGGCAGGATCATTGCCGAGATTCGGGGGAAGGAGGATTACGATAGTCGTCCTGGGAAGCGGTTATTTATCTGCATTAACTATGAGGTTATGTCACAAACTCAAATCTGATTTGTAAATTTATATAAATTGTGAAATTTCTATAAATAATGTTGTAACTGGAATGTTGTTATGTTGTAAACAGGGTGATGGGTTACATTATCGTCAGCCATGGGTGCATGGTGTTCAGGAGGAGATCGAAAAGTTTACTAAGCGTGTGGAGGAGGCTGAGCAGGTGATGAATGGTGTCTCGACTATGAATAAACAGATTGAGTTCTTGGAGGTTAGTTAAGTATACTTGGTTCATTGTATATTTGTATAGTTAAGTAGTTAAACTTATTATGTCACTAACACATGTTCGTTGTTGTTTTCATGTCCAGGAACATGTTAAAAACCTCTCTGAGCAGGTAAATTACCTCACCGTGCGAATGACTGACCTGGAGAGGCTCTGCTTCGACTGAAAACCCATAACACTCGAATGATGAACTAGTATTTTGAATGATGAAATAGTTTGAATTATGAAGTAGAGTGGCGTAAAGTAATCTGAAAAGTAGACTTAAACTCAAATAAATTTTCATTAACTCTATGTTGGTTGGTTGCTATGTAGTGTTTGCGTTTGAATGGTGTTCTGTTTTTTTTGTTCTGAGTTGATGTGTAATGAAATAACATTAACTTAAAAAGTCACCTAGAACTAAATTTTCACCTAAAAGTAGACTTAAACTCACCTACAACTAAATTATCATTAACTCTCTGTTTCTAGTAAGCGTAACAGATTCTATCAACTTTTAAAAATCACATTAACTTAAAAACACAAACCAAGATGGATCCTTTTAAATGTAGACTTAAAAGTAGACTTCAAAATAGACATAAAAATAGAGTTATACACAAATCAATTTTTATTACTGAGTTTATGTGTAATGAATGCGTGCTGTTACTTAAACTAACGTAGAACTACAACTACATTTTCATTAAACTCACGTAGAACTAAATTTTCACATAAACTCACCTACAACTAAATTATCATTAACTCTATTTCTAGTATAAAAACAGATTCGATCCATTTCTAAAAATCACATTAACTTAAAAACACAAACCTAAACCCTAAACCAGAATGGATCTTTTCTCCCTAAACTCTCCCGGGTTTGTTAACTTACTAGCTTCCCAGAGCAGTCCACCAATAGACGTAGACTATGGTGAGCCTAACTCTCTGGGGTTAGTGAAACCATTGCAAAAGAGAAAGTGGTCCACGAAAGAAGACCTTGTGCTCATCAGTGCTTGGTTGAACACCAGCAAGGATCCCATAGTCTCTAATGAGCAGAAGGCAGGAGCGTTTTAGAAGAGAATTGAAGAGTATTTCAATTCAAGCTCTCAACTGAGTGGCAACGTTCGTAGAGAGTGGAGTCAGTGTAAGCAGAGATGGGGAAGAGTGAATGCAGAGGTGTGCAAGTTTGTGGAAAGCTATGACGCAGCTTTGAAGGAGCAAGGAAGTGGTCAAAATGAGGATGATGTCATGAAGGCTGCCCATGACATCTTCTCCAATGACTATAATGTCAAGTTCACCCTTGAACATTGTTGGAGAAAGCTTAGGTCTGATCAAAAATGGAAATCTCTGTCCAAAGATGGTGGTAAGGATAAAAGAAAGGAAACTGTGGAGGTGTTGCCTGAGGAGGAAGAGGCTAGACCTCCTGGTGTTAAGGCTAGCAAAGCAGCCAAACATAAGAAGCACGGTATTGAAACCGCTTTTGACCAAATACAGAGCATTCTGGTTTTCAAAAATAATATCTTCAAACAGAAAATCCTTGATCGTCTTCTGGCCAAAAAGGAAGACACACTATCTGATATAGAAGTGTCTCTGAAGCAGAAACTCATTTCTGAAATGCTTTGATTTGGTCAGTGTTTCTAACTTGTTGGTTTAATTGTTTTAATTGTTCTGTTGGTTTAACTTTTTTGCTTGTTCTCTGTATCTCGTAAAGGCATTTGTGTTTCTTGATCATTTGTTTTGGTTAATTGTATAAGTGAGTGAAGAATCATATATGTATACATTGAACTCATTTCCTTGTTCTGTTGTATGTTTTGCAGGTCACGGGTTACAAGGACAAGCCTAGTCACTTTGGTTTACGGGTAGTTTCAAGGACAAGCTTTATGGATGTTTCTGTTGTATTTGCTTTCATCAGTCTGTATTGTCCACGAGTAGTGTAGAATTTTGTTTCTACACTTCTTTTCATTCACGGATGTAAAATTATGTATTCTCTGAAGTTCTATAAATTATGTACTCTCTATTTGTCAAATGTCCGACCATAACTCAAACTCCATCTAATTTACATCTTCCTCTAGTTTCTCTGTTTATCTCTCTCTTTATATCTCAAATGTCCAGCACTTAGACAAATTCTAGTTTCTCTCTTTATATCTCTCTCTCTCTTTATACAAACACACATACACATTTACAAAAAATATTCATCAATGTCTTCTGAATCAAGTGATGAAGCAAATGAAGTATTTGAAGAAATGGTCGACCAACAAATTGACGATTTCATCGACTCTATAGTTGATGGTCACGCGAACAAGCCGAAGAGACGAGTTTATATCGAAAGAGATCGGGAACAAGGGCACAATCAACTATGGAACGACTATTTCAGTAAAAGTCCTACATACCCACCTGAATTGTTTAGGCAGCGTTTTCGAATGAACAAGCCTTTGTTCCTTCGCATTGTCAATATCCTAAGTAATGAAGTTCCATATTTTCAGCAAAGAAGAAATGGCCACGGAAGGTACGGGCTATCTGCACTTCAGAAATATACTTCAGCTATACAATTGCTGGCATATGGTCAAGCGAGAGATTTGTATGACAAATATCTCCGACTTGCGGAAAGTACTGCACTTTTATGTTTGGATAATTTCACTGAAACGATAATACAAATTGTTTGGAGATGAGTATCTAAGAAGACCTATACCGAATGATCTTCAACGATTACTCGATGTTGGAGAAGCAAGCGGGTTTCCAGGGATGATAGGCAACATCGACTGTATGCATTGGGAGTGGGAAAATTACCGAACAGCTTGGAGAGGACAATACACACGTCGTTCAGCAAATACGACAATTGTCTTAGAGGCTGTGGCATTGCATGATTTTTGGATATGGCATGCATTTTTCGGATTACCAGGTACCCTCAACGATATTAATGTTCTTGATCGATCAATAGTTTTTGATAACATTTTACAAGGTCGAGCTCCTAAAGTTAATTTCAAGGTCAACAACCACAATTATCGTGTGGCATACTACCTTAACGATGGTATTTATCCGAAATGGTCAACATTCATCCAATCCATCCCACTTCCTCAAGGTCCTAAAGCAGAGTTATTTGCTGAACGGCAAGAATCCACCAGAAAAGATGTCGAACGTGCTTTTGGAGTATTACAATCGAGGTTTGCAATAGTTAGAAACCCATGTCTACTATGGGCCAAGGAAAAAATAGGAAAGATTATGAGAACTTGTGTCATACTGCACAATATGACAGTAGAGAACGAACGAGACAGATACACTTAGTATGATACATATGAGTTCGAATCAAGAGAGTCAAGCAGAAGCTCCCAAGTTCAACCAAAAACATCTGTGAATGCCGTGAATATGTTTGGCATTCGCAATCAAATTCGGGATTCACAGACACATGCTCGTTTGAAATCTGATTTAGTTGAAAATGTATGGCAAAAGTTTGGTAATCTAGATGAATAATCTTTGTATGTTTTTAAAAATATTTTAAAATATTATGTAAGTTTATAAATTCTCAATGTATGGAATAAAAGCATTTTTAAAAATAATAAAAATATATTCTATCTTCATGAATTCTCAATTTATTGAATAATTTTTTTAAAAAAAATTATTAAAAATTAATTTTTTAATTAAAAATTCTCATTATATTAAGTAATAACTTTTCAAAAAATATTAAAAAATACTTTATTTTCAAAAAAAAAAATATTATCTTATTCCTATGAACCCCTACTTCAGGTTCATTGATAGAAGAGCACAATTGATCCGGGTTTATCACTATTCATAGTCCCACCATAAAATTAATAAACAGTACATATGAATCCCAATAGAAGGTTCATTGATGTACATGCTCTAATAAGTTAATTTGAACGTCACTATATAATAATAAACAAATGGATTGGACCGCGGCATAAATAAATAAAAATAAGTCAAAGTATACCATCACTATAATAATAATAAAACAAACGGTGGAATCGGATTGGACGCATCATAAATAAAAATAAGTCAAAGTACACTCTCATAAAAGGGAGCTAAAAGAAAATTGAACTTCACTCATACTCTTTCCATTTCAATATAAGTGTTACTTTGACATTTTTTACAGAGATTAAAAACATTGTAAAATAACACTTATTTCATGTATGATTAATTGAATAAAACTTATTTAAACAAAAATCGATTGGTTATTCAAAAAGATGAAAAATGAATCTAATGTACAAAATTGCATTAAAATTGTAGAATAACACTTATTTCAAAACAAGAAAATGAGTTTAAAATGACACTTAATATGAAACAGAGGAAGTATAATTTAGAGACTAATACTTTAATTGTTAAATTTCTACAACAACTTTTTCCCTTTCAACATTATAAAAATTATTTTTAACATAAACTGATTTCTAACTGATTCTATTGACAAAAATACACAAAAGATTATATAACATAAACCATATAAAGGACACAATAGGATAGAAATCCTTCAGTAAAAGAAAAAAACATATGAAAATACTGTTTTTTGTCACTACATTTGAAAACAGACTATAGTTTTATCTAGAAGTGGACAAGGAACTGATATCCATGATTATAAGGGTATTCATGATCCAGTCCGCTACACACGAGTAATCAGTTTTTGTATTTGATCCGATATGTAATCTTTTTAATATTAAGTTTTTTTGGATATTCAGAAAATTGGTATTTTGTACCAAACCGAATCAAAAACAACATGAAATATTCAACAAAATAATATTATTTCATTACAAAAATTAAATACTTATATAAAGATATAAAAATTAATAATTAAGTATTAATTTAGTGGATAAAATATTATAAAACTTATAGAAAGATATAAAAACTATACAGTTCGTATATATATGTATATAATTATACATATATATATATATATATATATATATATACGGATCGAATATCTGTTTTAAAAAATATTAGTGTTTGTGATTTTCTCTGTCTATGACAGATATTGAATATTAGCATTTGCTTTAATTGGTAAAGTTACATTTATTTGAACTAATTTGATAAACACGAAACAAATACCGATCGAATCAAACTTTGCAGAAAATTTTAAAAATCCAATTTTTTGTTGATAGATTGGATTTTTTTCTTTCTTATGGTTCAGCATGAGGGCTAGGTGTTCTCAACTCTTGTCTGACATACAAGCTTTCAAGGTGATTGCTTAAAAGTGAACAATCTTAGCAATATGATGTTTGGAGTATATAGGTGTTCATATTAGATGTTTTTGTACCTCTGTTACTGTTAGGCAGCAAATCCTGGTTGTATTCTGGAAGATATTGTGAGATGGCATTCTCTTTCTCACTTGACCGAGAATGATACCTTTTCTGGAGATGACTCTTCTCTCTTAACGGGTCAATTAAGTAACTTGCAAAAAGAAGGTTTCATCTTTTTCATGTTCTTATTTCTCACGGTTTACCAATGTCTCAGTTCTCTCTGTGGTTATCTCAAAACAGAATTGTGACAATCCATCCCGTGAAAGTTTACAGCGCTACATCACACCGACCTTAACCCCTCACATGTGGACCCTTCACGGCCATAAATATACTTATTGGTGTGGTTAGTGTTCCTCGAACCCAAGACCTTACCCTTTAACAACTCTCCACAAGATAAGTTGTCACCAATTGATCCACTTGTAAGGCCCCTTTCTAGCTCTGATACAAAATTGTAACATCCGCATTTTCCACAATAATTATATTAATAAATAGAGATTTCAGACATTATTATTTACTTTATTATTGTGGAAAATGTGGGTGTTACAATAATAGTTCTAATCTTTCAAGTCTTGTTGTCAATTATCTTTGCGAAATTCTATATGGTATTAGGTAATTTATAGCGCGAACTGGGGAAAACAGCTAAATCATTGCCTGCTATTAAACAAACTTCTCTTTATGATGAAGATTGAACTGTGTAAGCGTGTTAATAACATGCCAAATTATACATAGTGGTTGTGTGGATCATGTGTTTGATCACTCATAGAAATTTTGCCCGTTGCTCATTAATTGTATAATAAGGAATGAATCTTGAATCCTTTGGAAGACATTCTAACTGCTGAATTTTTTGAACCTGTTTGTTTCTCTTGTAAGTTTCACCTATCAAATAACATATTTATCCTTTCTTTTATTTTCTAGTTTTGTAAGATCCTAGACGACTAGTGCTAGTCCATGTCTAGGAGAAGAGACTGATTCTGTGTGATTACTATTATTATGTTTTACTACTTTCCTGATCATATTTTGCTATGAAGAGTACTGAAATGAATTAATTAATTTCTCAAAACGTAAAGTTTCATACATCATGAACCTTACATACATGTGAATGAAGCAAAAGGAAACTTAACCACTTGGTATAATCTAAACCATGTAAATCGAAGTAAACCTATATATAGACTAAAAAAGAGAACTTTGAGGATTGTTGGTTATAAAATTTACAGGTTGCCCTGGATTTGTAACGGTGGAAATAGTAGTATCCACAAACGATGACTTGTCAAAACTTTTTTCGAATGCAAGGACTATCTAGTAGCGATTTTCCAGGGAGGCGCATGCATTGATAAGCTTGATGACCTATGCCTGGTAAACCTTGTACAAATGTATGAAAATATCAAATGATCGATTATGGATATGAACAATCATGATCAGTACTAAATCATACATTCTCCCTAAATATTTGGATTATTTTTGTTGCCTTGATATTGATAGGTGTATGAAACCGTGGAAACACTGCTAAAACGTCCAGAATGAGTGTTGAGATCAATGAAGCAGACGACAGAGGAGTCACTATCAAGCGGGAACGAAACAAAACGGTGGTTCAAGAGGCTTGGGTTCATCTTCCGTGGTAAAGAAAGAAACCAGAAAAGAGTTCCATCAGAAATAGGGCTGAGCGCAATTATCCGTTACTCGGTTTATATTCGTTACTCGCCCCGTATTTTCCCCGCAAATATAAATACTTATCATAATCAAGGCAAGTAACAAGTTAAAAAAAATTAAGTACTTGTAAATCAAAGTTAAGTATCAAGTCTTAGATTTATTTTAACTACTTAACTTGTTTAGACTCGTTACTTGATTTTTAAAATATTTTATAACATTTATATTCTATTTAAACTAATTTAATACTTATGTAAAATATCTTAACTTCTGAAAATATAAAATTATGTATACAACATATGTATAAGGAAGAGAGGACTAGGTTCTTGATGTTGATAAAAGGGATTATAGTTTTTCATTTTCAAGTGTATAAGACTAAATAATTCTCATATTTTTAACCAAATTCTATTCTACATTATCCCACATTTGCTATAATAGAGAAGTGAAACAAAGAAAATATAAAATAAAGGCAATCACCTACCTTAGGATCATCAAAATTAGATTTATTTTATAAAGGTAAAAAAATACATAAATATTACTCTATATATACAAGTACAAGTCCAAGGAGTTACTCGTAAGTATCATAAATATAGACAAGTACTTGTTTAACCAAGTGCTTGATATTAGCAAGTACAAGTACAAGGCAAGTTTTTTAATATTCGGGCGGGGTAAGCCGAGTTACAAGTATAGCAAAAATTCCAGATACTTACCTCGTGTCCAGTCCTAATGAGAAACTGAAATGAAAAGTAGGAACCGAGCCCGTGCTATTCTTTTCAAAGAAACCTCCTAGACATGCTTATAATGGGACACTCTAATCTGAATCCTTTTTCTTATTTCTTTCATCTATTTTTGAGTCATTACTCAATATATTTTATGATATGTTGTAAACTAATGAGAGAATAAAAAGAATTGGTGTGTATATTACACATAACATAGAATCTCTTATATAGGGAATTAAATGAGAGATAAATGGAAAGTACAAAGCCAATACAAATATGGAAAATATTAAGTCTAAATCGTCATATATTTTACATGGATTGGGTTTAGATAATATGGTTATGGCCCATCCACTAATTAGTTCATAACAGGATATGAGTTTTAGGCTGATTAATTGATTGGTAACTGTAAATTCGAAACATTTGTCAGATGAGACTTATTCTTGGGTTCACCATCCAATAAAATTACATCATTTCATATTTGATATATTTTTAAAAGGGAAACAAATTCTTATTAAGTTATATTATGTTTTTAAAAATAAAAATACAAAAAAAAAATATAAAAAATAATTAATAAAAATGAAAATCATTATTTTTAAAGAAAATATTTTAACACTAAACTCTAAAGTATAATCTTAGGTAAATCACAAACTTTTGAATAAATCTATAAAAATTTAGTGTTTATGATTTACCCAAGGGTTTAGGGTTTAGGAATAGAGTTTAGGGTTTAGTGTTTATGATTTACCCAAGGATTTAGGGTTTAGGATTAGAGTTTAGTGTTTATGATTTATCCAAGGGTTTAGAGTTTAGGATTAGAGTTTAGGGTTTAGTGTTTTAGTGAAAAGAATTTTTTTAAAGATTTTTTTTTTTAAATTACCAAAGGTTTATGATTTACCTAGGGGTTTAGTGTTTAAGATTAGAGTTTAGGGTTTAGTGTTAAAATATTTTTTGTAAAAGAATTATTTTTCATTTTTATTAATTATTATTATTATTTATTTATTTTTATATTTTATTTTTAAAAACATAATATAACTTAACAAGATTTTGTTTCTTTTTTTAAAAGATATCAAATATGAAATGATGCAATCTTATTGGATGGTGAATCTAGAGATTCACCTTAGGGGGTGAACCCAAGAATAACTCGTCAAATGGGGACTTGAATTTTGATGAAATGAAAATGAGAGCAAGTCTTTCATGAAAAATGAATAATCAGTTTGTTTAGGTAGTATTATGAGCCTGGCCCATGGGTTAGTGTTAATGAAACGTCTGCGTTTTAAGCAGTCTCTCTTTTTCGAGTAATTTACATTAGAAGGCAGTTTATGAGTTTTCTTGTCAAGAAAATACACTTTGTTACACATAGGCAGTTTGTGGTTGTAAAGACTTAACTTTCCCTTCCAAAAGTGTAACTATTATCTCAGAATTGGTACCCCTACGTTTACTCTTCTTTTTAAAAATTTTAAAGAAAATATTACAATCTAAGACAATTTTAAGTTTTTAATATCACAATAAATCAGTTATAACTATTGAGGTAGTTTTTATTAACTAAAGTTACATATCTAACTAAAATGACCCCATAATTTTTGAAAATTAGTTACCTTTCTCTTTCTCTTAAGACCACACGTTTGAAGCCTTAAAATATATTATAAAAAAAATCAGAAATTATCAAAGCTTCTTCTTCACAATTATTCTTTTTCTTTCTCCACCGCTATAATTCTTCTTTATCCAGCTCATCTTTAATTTTCTCAGTACATTTTTTGCAATTCGTCTATGTCATAACCTAAGTTCTTGCTGCCGTAGAAACATCATCTCTTCTCCGTCGATCCTCAGCTTTGGATTATCTTTAGTTTTTACTCGAAATTCTCTATATGCCGTGTTGTGTCTCATTTTATCTTGTCTTCCCATGTTTCATCGTCGTCGTGACTTTCCTACCTCTCCTAGAGCTCTGAAACTGGTACAACCAGCTTAAGAGCAACAATGGTTAATTTGGACATTTTTGTATATTTGGTCCCTAAACTTATTTGTTATTTATTTTGTAACCCCAATACTTTTAAATGTGAAACTTGGTCATTGATTTTGTTCCAAACTTCAGATGCTACATTTTAACCCCTTGTAGTAGGAATACATCTATAAAAATACAATAAAACAACTCAAGACACCTTAACTTCCGATAAAAATATATCTCAAACATGTACATGTTTCATTGAGCACATGATGTACACGTGGATATAACTCATATAAACGTACATGTGGATAATACATTGTGTGTACACGTTGATATATTTTACCATATTCATTTGTTTTAACAATTTAAACCATAATTATGAGGGATGTACTTTATATTATCCGAGTTGTACATGTGTACATCAACTTCTTAATGTACATATGTACATTAATTTCAAAATGTGAATGTGTACAAGAGTGCCGATGAGAGAACATAGGTTTACCATGAGCTATCAAAGCAACAACACCTACTTCAAAAATATATACAAAAGTATATACAGTAGGATTTGAAATGCAACTCTTTTCAGAGCCTTTTTACATTTGCATAGCTACATAAAGATTTTTAAAACATGTTGTCTTGGAATGATCCATGTGGACATTCACGTTGTACATATGTACATTAACCTCATATTGTACATGTGTACATCAACTTCATAATGTACATATATATACATTAATTTCAAAATGTATCTTGACGTCATTTTAGGATATATCTTAACGTCATTTTAGGATGTATATTGACATTGTACATCAACTTCATAATATACATATATATACATTATTTTCAAAATCTATCTTAACGTCATTTTAGGATATATATTTCAAAATGTATCTTAATGTCAATTTCACCGTACAACAATGGTGTACATGATATAATGTACAAAGCAAATGATTTTTAAAATTGATATAATCGAACTTATGGGTTTGGAATCATTAGTGAGACATGATTCAAGTTTATATGTACACCAAGAATATATAACACTGTACATGTGTACACCAAATATTAAACATGTGTATATCCATAACTGTATGTCATAAAAAAGTTAAAAAAAAATAACACATATGCTATCAAGATTTTAAATAAGTATCATTCAAAATAACGAATTTTTTTTTATTCACGTAAACCTAGGTTTCTTGTTCTTATACCTACAAAGACAAATCTATCTCTTTAAAAAGTACATACGTACACTAATATTATGTAAACATCTATGTGGTCATCCAGTTTACTCGTGTACACAAACATGTGTACACTAACATTATGTACAAATCCTTGTGGTCATCCAATGTATGTTAACTACATAATGTATGTTAAAACCTAGTTGGTGTACAAATGAACAAAGTACATGTAATTTTATTGTAAAAAAATGTAAGTATGGTCAATGAAATATATGTGTACATGTTGATGAGTACACAATTGAATACTAAATGAGATGTATTACATGTTGATTACATAATTGCATGGGATATATTACACAATTAAAAAAACTTGTGCAAATTTGAAAGGTGAATTTTGCGAGTTTGGAATTGTGGAGACAAAATGAAAATTATTTTAAATATAAGAGACCAACTGTGCAAAAACAAACAAAAAAATTCAC